AACAACGTAAACTAGAGGTTTCTATCTCAATCCAGTAAAAAATGGAAGCTGATTGAAGTCTTTAGAAATCGGAAATAACTTGCAATTTTATATTTAACTGCCATATTTTACTGTGTTAAGATAGAGACCTATAGTTTGCGTTGTTCGTTTTAGAATTTCCCATATAGGGAATAAACTATTACCGTAGTACTCATGGTAAGACCTGGACGCGGGACCGATTTTTTTTTTCGTTTTGAGGTCCCTAGAGGCCAAAAACACCATCCATTCAAATTCATATATATATATACAGGGTTTCCAAAAAATAATGGTGCGGTTTAGTTATGAAATAAAAAGATAACGAGAAGAGGTACAAAAAAACTATTTATTTTATTGGATTCCTTACATTAAAAAGATTTTATACATATCTAATAAAGCTCCACATGGCCACCATTCCTAGCCCCTTGCCTAGCCCCTAGTCCAAATGATAATCTACTTCAGCCCACACATTTTGCAACATTTCTTTTGTCACCGTTGAAACTGTATGAATGATTCTTTCCCTTAGGTGGTCCAAATTGCAAATTTTTCGAGCATATACTATGTTCTTTACATGACCCCAAAGAAAAAAATCGCATGGAGTCAGGTCCGGGCTCCTGGGGGGCCATGCTATAGGACCGCCTCTTCCAATCCACCTGTTCGGGAACTTAACATCTAAAGCATCTCGAACAATTGTTTTATAATGTGGAGGTGCTCCATCCTGCTGAAAATAAAGGCTTTTTGCATTTTCCATGTCGTCAAGTAGAGGAAAACAATAGTTTTCTAACATGTCCAAGTAAACATTTCCATTGATAGTTTTTTCAGCGAAGAAAAATGGCCCAATTACTTCTTCTCTGGACAGGCCGCACCAAATGTTTATTTTTGGTGAGTCTCTTTCCTTTTCAAAAGTTTCATGAGGATGCTGAGCTCCCCAAATTCTTACGTTGTGCCTAAACACAACCACTGATGTGAAATGTGGCTTCATCTGAAAAAACTACTTCATTCAAAAATGATTCATTTTCTGCCATTTGGTTCAACATAAATGTAGCGAATCCTGCTCTATTTTATCAAATCTGTTGTTTTTATTTTTTGGAAGATGGAGTCTTTTGTGTAAAACTTTGTGAAGAGTACTTACAGGTATTCCTAATTCAAGACTACGGCGAGGGAGGGATTTCTTTGGACTTCTAACACAAGATAGTCTGATGTCTTCAACTGTCTGGTTAGATACTGGTGGTCTACCAGGTCTACTTTGCTTTTTAACTGACCCAGTGTTTATGAATTGCTTACTCCAACGATTAATGTTGTTTTTATGAGGCGGAGCTTTATTGAATGTTCTTCGAAATGCCCGTTGCACTAAAGTCACTGACTTTAACTCACTTAATAACAATACACACTTAGCTTTTTCCTGATCTGAAAACATGTTGGTCGAAAAAACTCAACTTATTGATTAAGGAGTGTTTTGAATAGTACAACAATCAAAACAGCTGTTTTAACAAATGTGAACAAAACTGTTTGAGCTACTAGATACAGGGATACCAACAGAAGTCATTTAATTTGTCTTATAACAGTTTTACAGGATGTTAAAACCGCACCATTATTTTATGGAAACCCTGTATATATATTTATATATTTACATATATATATATATATATATATATATATATATATATATGTGTCCGTCAGCACGATAACTCGAGCAAAAATTATCCGATTTTGATGAAATTTGGTACAAACGTGTAAACGTACGTTTATTCGACCGAGTTTGCGATCCAGCATGATCGGACCATGGGAACGGGGGTTTACAGGGGGTTTTATGGGGTAAAAATAGGTTTTTCCCATTTTTGACCCAAAAAACATAAAATTTAGCAATTTCTTTCCAGTTTGATCAACATATTTTGATCAAATTTGGAAAATACATTAATTTCTTACAAAACCACAGTACCTTTTAACATTTTACATAAAAAAACTTTTTTACCCTTCCTGTTGCAGCAAACCTAGTACTCATTAAACTAATTCTGTTTAAATAGGGAATAAATGTGATATTTTTAAGGAGACATTTTAGTTTAAATCCAATCAGGCGAATGGAAATTCGCTAAGTCAGCAGGTTTGCTGCGGCGGGGGTATTATTTTATTATGACCTTCAAAATGAGGGATCACTCGATGGGGCTTATCATTTAAAATTTTTGAGTTTCCCCCAAAATCATCCATTTTGGGGTTGGGAACTTATGAGAATTGCAATTGGCTGCCATTTCGTACTGAACTGAGATAGAGACCTCTAATTTGCGTTGTTGGTTTTCTTTTACTAGGACCTTCAAAATAAGGGGTCACTCGATGGGTCTTTGTATTTGACATTTTTTAGTTTCCCCCAAATCCCCCCGTTTTGGGGATGAACACCAAGTGGTGGTCATGCCCAAAAAGTACTTCATAAGATGCCATAATGGTGTGCCGAGTTTAGTTTTTCTAGTATGGGCCGTTAAAAAAATAACAGGGGGTCTCCACACTTTTTACTAACCCTGTATATAAATGTGTGTGTGTGTGTCCGTGAAGATGATAACTTGAGTAATTTTTGTCTGATTTTGATAAAATTTGGTTTTAACCCTTAGAGTGCCAGGCGAGAAATAAAAGTAACGCTCAAAAAATGCCGATGATTTTTCCCGAAGGTCGCGCTAAAAATGCCGAGCGCGATCTGGCGATTTTTAGGTTAAAATTTCGTAAAAATCGAATTTTCGATATTTCGACCAACGAAAATCGATGTATCGCATCTAGTAACTTTCAACTCAATGTTAATATATGGGTTAAAAGAATCTGAGTATCCATTCGGTTGTTATGACAACTGTTCGATCATTACGAAACGTCCGGTCAGCCGGACGTTGGCACTTTTGGCATGTTCTAAAAACGTCCGGTCGGCCGGACGTCGGCACTTTTGGCTCGTTTTAAAAACGTCCGGTTCCCCGGACGTTGGCACTCAAAGGGTTAAGGTGTAAGGAGGGATAAACTTGAATGAGTTCGCGGACCAGCATGATCAGACCATGGGAACGGGGTTTAACGTGGGGTTTTATGGGGTAAAAATGGGGTTTCCTCATTTTTTACCCTTAAAACACAAAATTTATCAATTTTTCTCCAGACCTATTTAAAGAGCTTAACAAAAAAATCATTTAGTATATCAACGTTTTTTTGTACGCTTATTGGTTACGGAGTAAATTTAAAAAATTGTTCATTTAAAATTCCCATGTTATTCTTATGGAGAATATTGTAAAATGTTGTAGTTGGCTTGTAGATTTATTTATTCTATACTAAGCTATTATATTTTAATAAAAAACAAACTTTATTAGTTTCCCTGTAGCAGCAAACCTAGGTACTCATTAAACATAAATGTCAATTTAATGAACTTAATGTACTTGAAAATTTAGTCTATGTCACAAGACTATAACCACGTCCAATGGGTTTCTTGCCAATGAATCTTATATATATTAAAAAAATTTGGTTTTTCTTTTCCGAGTTCGTTTGGCTCTTCTACCCAATCAATTTTCATGATTGAGGTCTCAAATTGAAGGTATGCACGCACAGATTTGCCATCAAGCATCGTTATAAATGTATCTATAATCCCACTCGACATATACATAAACGAAATTTGCTCCCCATGTATTTCTTATGGGAGTTAAATTTGGTTTCTCTTTTCCGAGTTCGTTTGGCTTTTCTACCCTACCGATTTTCATGATCGAGGTCTCAAATTGAAGGTATATGCACCCACAGATTTGCCATCAAGCATCAGCATATATTTATCTTTATCCCACTCGGCTTATACGCCAAACCAAATCTGTGCTCCCTGTCAAGCTTCGGCATATATTTACTTACTGTAATACTCGACCAAATACCAATCAATGAAATACTGGCTTTCATTTATTAATTATTCAAATTGGACGAGTTTCAAGCAAACGCATGGTTAACAACCAACATAAAAATTATTTTTCATAAGGTTTTTCTATGATTAAAAATGAATAGCTCCAATATTGTTAATGTTTGTTTATATGTTTTATACTCAAAATAACCAATAAATTATAGGCTTTAATTTGAGCTATCGATCGTTTGAATCAGTTAAGTTCAAGATACTCTTATTACTCAATCAAAAATCATAAATTTGATTATATTTATTTTAACGATGTGAGCAGCATGGGTCCTCTATTAAATAACACTAAAACTCAAGAAATAAAATTTAATTTTAAATATAATTCTGTCTCAAATAATGAAAATAGTACAGTCACTAAAATATGGTTGGGTGTCTATATCGATAACTGACTCCTGGAATGAGCAAATAATTTACATATTTGTTTACTAGGCTATCTCAAGTAATTTTTCTTCTTGGTCGTCCAATGTAATTCCAAAGACCTAGTTGAGATCAGCTTATTTTGCATATTTTCAGGCTGTAATGAGATATGGGTTGATATTCTGGGGAGGGTGTAGAAGAATTGATAACAGTGCTTTTTCCAACAATCCATAATAACAAAATGTGAATTGTGAAATCAAAAGCCAACCAGTTATTGTTCCAATCGACTGCTATGGTTTAGAGGTGACATGGGTTGACCTACAGCTTTGACAAATCACTAATATATACACTCCTACAGTAATATTGATAATAAGCCCCTTGCTTCACTGGGGACAGTAAGAGTTAAACTGGCAAAGACTCTAGTATAGGTAGTAAAACCATTTTTTAAATACATTTTTATTGTACATTTTTTACGTTGATACTTTTTAGTACAGTTGAAATTGAACATATTTCACAGAAATTTGTGTATCATCATCCACTGTAAAATATATTTTCAATTCAAATCTTTTATGTTTTGTTTTAAGACATTTTAGTGTTTGTAAATTTTTCTGGTTGAAACGTGATGTTAAACACGTAAACTGTACGTGGCCACCATGTAACAAAACACTGACCTTCTTTTGATGAATTAATTTACATCAGTATTTGAATACAATACTAAGTACGCCAGATCCCTCTTTACAAACATCTTTTGTAGTTTCATTGCTCCAAGGTAGACTGATTCTCGTTGATGAATTTCCTAGTATTTAAGTTAAGTGAGCTTCATTTGTAGAATAATTTTTTTGGTAAGTTTTTTGTACAAAAGCAGTTGTGATGCATGTTTAAATAGTGTAATGAGTGTTGTTTAATTTGTTTCTACTAATGCCATAACATTAAATCTGGACATCCTAACAGTCATGCCATTACACATACTGGTCGCGTTTTGTCACCTACGAGTTTAACCAATTAATATTGTATTATTGTAAGAAACAATTTTATGTATATAAAAACGTTATACTTACACATCTGTTTATTCTTTGGTAAAAAAAAAAAATAAATAAAATCCCATTTAAAATAAATTCACTATAATAGCTAGTTATAGTTTTGCATGAAAACAACTTGTAGCCTTGTACTTACAATGTTCTGGACATTTTAGACTTTTCCATCTTTAATTTTTCAAAAATATTTATCGATTACCGGTACCAATTAAATTATTTATTGTATTCAAACCATAAATTCAGTACATTGGAAACCAGGAGTTAAGTTTATTCTTAATGTTCCCATCATTCAAAAATGGAGACCCTGATGATGTCAGATTCTATCTACACGCCTATATCATTAGTTCACGTATTATCAAAAATTCCAGAAAAAGTTTGTACAGTCAACTTTAAAATCGCCTTGAAATAATAAACTTTTGATAAAAAAACATGGAGATAACAATAAGTTTGAATTTAAAATGATTACAGAAAATGATGTTAAAGAGGCAATGAACTCAATAAAATCAAAAGCTCTAGGTGTTGATAGTGTATCGATACAAATGATAAAATCTGTTAGCCCATATGCAATTGGAGCAATAACACATTTGATAAACATGAGCCTGGCCTCTGGTGTTTTTCCTAAAAGTTGGAAGATTGCCCATGTGAAACCGTATTGCCTAAGGTTGCTGCGCCAAAAACCGTCCAGCATTTAAGACCTATCTCTGTGTTACCTGCCATGTCAAAAATAATGGAAAAGATAGTAACTAAACAAATTGCTTCATTTCTAGATAATTTTGATATATTGCCTAAGCTAAAGTAAGGGTTTAGAAAAAACCACAGTACTTGTACTGCACTGACTAATATGTTTGCGGATCTATTCGATGCCAAAGATAAGGACTCTACAGCACATTAGCTGTTCTAGATTATTCCCAAGCATTTGATTCTATTGATCATGAATTATTATTGACCAAAATGAAGTGCTATGGCTGCAGTGAAAAAGTTGTTTGTTGATTTCAGTCCTATTTGGAGTCCCGACTGCAGGTTACCAAAATTGGGAGTGAGACATCAGATCCGCTTTGCAAATTGTGTGGTGTTCCTCAATTTGTACACGTCTGACTTGTCCAGAAGTGTAGAATATTGTACAGCACACTTGTATGCTGATGACTGCCAACTACACTTGTCATACAAGCCAGACATGACATCAGAAGCAATCCGGCTCATCAATGCTGATTTGCACAGCATTTTTCAATGGTCTGTCATGAATGGCCTTGGATTTTGACAAGTGTGTAGTCATGCATACTGGACCAAACATTATGATGCAGGAATTGAGTAAATCTGCTATAGAAATCACCCTTGATGGCATGAGATTGTCTGTTTGCGACACTGTCAACACACTTCCTCTCTTTTTCTGACCATATCACATCTGCAGTTCAACGCGCAGTGGGTAGACTGAGAGGTCTTAGTAGATTTAAAACTCTACTTTCTTTTGGGTAAATTATTGTATTGGATAGAACACGAAAAAAAATCTAGGAAATCAGCCTCCACTGCAAATATGCTATGCAAATGTTGTTTGGAATCTTAGAAATTCCCAGTTAGTCCACCATTGAGGAGCAATTTCAAAAATGATTTTGGTTGATAACGCTGCTGTTTAATTTTTCACTACTAGGTAAGTTCATGTGGTATGGTAAAACAAATAACAATAACTACAAAAAATAATTTGTAGCAGGATTGTTGTGTGAAAATTCCAATTATTGTGCATATGGTTTGTTTTGCAGAAAGATGGGTCTGATATCGATGTACCTGAGTGTGGCCTTCTACAGCACTTGGCTGTGGGTGCTGTTGATGTTGGTGCTGGTCTACTGGTGGTACATGCGTATGTGGATTGGCTTTTATGACACCAGCACAATGAGAACTGATGACAAAACATTTGTGGTCACTGGAGCTGAAGCTGGTACGATTTTATTGTTTATAGTGAGCCTAATGTTATAAATTAAACTACTTAAATCACTTACTATTGATAAAACAATATCAACAAACAGTGTCTTTAGGTATCATAGGGTTGAGTGAAAACCCTTGCATTGTGCACCCACGGCGTATTAGTCAAATGATGTTCAACAGTAATAACTTTAATAAACTTACCATTGATTTATCGTATGAAGCATAGTGATTATTGTGCAAGTGAGCTCCTAGTATCTTGGAGTCTCAACAGATTAAATCCCTTGTAAATTATAAACATGTCCAAGGATTTGGATAGTTTTCTCATACAAGCTAAGTTTAGCTTTAAGGTTAGTTTCTAAAAAGAAATAATGAACATTCCTCAAAAAAGTTTTTATATAAGTAATCCTTTCATACTACATGCCACTGGCCAAAGTGTTATTTTCTTATGACTAAAACTAAGATGGTGATCAGTAGGCTACCAATTTGTATTTGGGTTTGTCCCTGCAACCTGGAGTTAAAGGTGCCGTTTCCTCCAACTTCAGTAATCGCGCTGCTTGCTACAGTTAAGCTAAAGAACGCAGCGCAGTAAGGAACAGATTGGTGTTAAAATAGTACACAGCGCAAAAGTGTTTTCCTACAAATCTGCCAACGCATTGCGTCACTAGCAAATTCACGGTTCCACAGTAACCTTTTCCTATGTATCGGAGAATGAATTGTCTTGCTTTTATGTCGATAGTTGAAGAGGAAGAAATGGACGAAGATTTAGTTTAGACATAGCCCTAGTTCTGCTGACCAAAAGTCAAAATACTGTAGCTATAAACTATAAACTGTTTAGTTAATATTCTTTTAGCGAATTTCCCATATAGGGAATAAGCTATTATCGTAGTACTCATGGTAAAACCTGGACGCGGGACCGATTTTTTTTTTCGTTTTGAGGTCCCTAGAGGCCAACAACACCATCCATTCAAATTCATATATATGTATATATATATATATATATATATATATATATACACGTGTCCGTTAGCATGATAACTCGAACAAAAATGATCCGATTTTGATGAAATTTGGTATAAACGTGTAAACCTACATTTATTCAAACGAGTTCGCGAACCAGCATGATCGGACTATGGGAACGGGGGTTTACGGGGGGTTTTATAGGGTAAAAATAGGTTTTTCCCATTGTTGACCCAAAAAAAACATAAAGTTTAGCAATTTATTTCCAAACCATGTTGTAGAGCGTAAAAAAAAATAATTTAGTATATTGAAGCGTTATTATGCGCCTAATGGTCACGGAAAAAATTCAAAAAAATTTTAAATTAAAAATTTCCATGTTATTCTTATGGAGAATAAGTAAACTGTTGGAGTTTGCTTGTTTATGAACATATTTTGATCAAATTTGGGAAATGTTTTATTTTTTACTAACTATTAACATAAAAAAAAAAAAACAGTTTTACCCTCCCTGATGCAGCAAACCTAAGTACTTGTTAAACTAATTCTATTTAAATAGGGAAGAAATGTTTTTTAAGTAGACATTTCAGTGTAAATCCAATCAGGCAAATGGAAATTCGCTTAGTCTGCAGGTTTGTTGTGGCGGGGGTATTTTACTAGTATTCTTTTTAATAGGCACCCGATAGACGATGAAGTAAAATTTAAGGAATACATGGTTACCGACTTGGTGCGTAGTGATACAACTTCGAAGCCAACAAAGAGAATGGAGCAGAACTTTAAACTCAGACACACTCAATTAATAAACTGCCCTCATCAACAGTTAACTTAGTAGCATCACTCAAACTAGGATTCTCAATATTTCTAATGTAAACAATAGACCAGTTCGGCAGCGGGGTTAACAACTGACAGCACTCGAGGCAGTGCTCCTAATTACGCTGCAGGCTTGGTGCTGCGCGGTTGGTAGTTAGTTAGCACACCGCGTTGCTAGAAAAATACTCTCATTGGTTTTAAAAGGATCGGTGGCTCCGGAAATTGCGAAGCACAAAGCACGCTGCTTAACTGGCTTAAACGCGTCACTAGGAAAACGACGCTTATGTATTTGCTTTGATTACATGCATCAACTGAATATTCAGAACTTATCTTTTCTTACATCTATTTCTAATGTACAACATGATCTAACAAAACAACTGTTACATTATTAGCATTTTGCTTTGGAAGAGATGATCTTGATATATTATATTAAACGTTTGTTGCAATTTGTTTGGATTGTTTTATAATTAGGTAGTTAAAATCAGTCCTCAATAAAAAAAAAATGAGGTGCCGGAACCTATTATGCCAATATTTTTGTCTCTCCAAAAGAGAGGTATTGGAACTCCTTTCCGCCGCGCTCCCTCGCAAATCGAGCAATAATTGATTTTTACTATTATCTAAATTACTATTATTATTACTGAATTGCAGGCGTAGGCAAGGCGTGTTGTGATCTACTAGCAGCCAGAGGTGGCAGGATCATCATGGCTTGTGCTGACACATCCTTGGGCCAAGCTGCCAGAGGTAAGTACCTCATAGAGAGAAACATTTATTACAATCAATTGACATCAGCAGCTGACTGTTTTGTTTGGGTAACTTTTAGGATTACTATATCCCTGACAATGTTAATACGTCCAATACTTATATAGTGCAGAAGTTCTACTAGATCAACAATATATATAGAGCAGAGACATAGGTTTTTGACAAAGGACAAAGGAGGGGAAAAAAGTTTGTTACTTGAACATAAAGTCTTGAAATTTTTTGCTAAAGATGACTGTAGGGCAAGGGTTTTTTCAGGATTTTTTTGTGACTAGTATTAACTTACTGGGGGCTTGCCTTACTGACAAAAGTTGATAAAAATGCACATATAAACACGTAGAATCTTCTGAGCCTTACCTTACCTACGTGGCGACTCAAGCCCCAAAAGGTTTTTTGGCCTCGCCAACAGCCACTCGCCATCCATCTCAGTCCTGCATGAGATCAGGTGTTATGTTGAGCCTCTGCATGTCCTGATGGCACCTGATCTTTCCATCACAGTCTTGGGTGCCCCAATGGTTGTCTGCCTTGTAGAAGATTTTCTGCTGCCATTTTCAGTGTGGAGTTCAGCTCTCTTCTATTTACATGGACAGCCCACCTCAATCTTCTAGTTTTGATTAAAGCTATTATGTCTGGATCTTGATACAAAGCTCTGAGTTCCATGTTGATCCTTATTCTTTACATTCCTTGATCAAAAATTGGTCCAAAAATTGATGAAAAATTTTGTTTTCAAAGACTATCAGATTCTTTCCTGATTTTTTGTTGACTGTCCAGACCTCAGATCCATATGTAACACAACAGGTAAAATCATACTCTTGTAGAGCCTTGGTTTGGTATTTTTAGATAGAATTTTACTCTTTAGTAGTTCCTAGAAGTAACTAAAGAAGGAGCTAGTAGTCCCAAAAATTCAATGTACATTTTCATCCAGCGCTCGATTCGCGGCATAATGGCAACCTGGTACCTCCCTTTCGGAAAGATAAAGTATATTGGTATTAGGAAACATAAAATAAAATGCGTCCCCATCTCAACGATTGATTGATTGATTGAAAACCTAGTGTTTTTTGTCAATGTTCACAAACAAGTTTGACTTCATTGAAATGTTTTTTTCCTAATACTTAAGACAGGGAATAGTGAAAATTTAAAAACGTACGTTTTCATGTCCCTGGCCTTTTACTTCGTATATACTGGATTTGTAGTTTATTATTATGTGTTTTAATATTTTTTGGGACGGGGGCAACATGTTACACACATTTATTTGGTTTTAAATAGGTCCTAAGTATTTTTTTCGTATTTTTAAAGTCTTGAAATTCACGACCATGACGTGTCCCTAGGGTACATTTTCCAACTTTCACGCTGTTTTTAGACTAATTATTCATGCCGAAATATATAAAGCCATTTTTTTATGTCATCAATGGTTATTAAACTTACAAAAAGGGAGCATATTATAATTTTATTGTCATTACAAACTGACTACCATGACAAAATAAGTCTGTCCCTCGATTTGGCGTCACGACCATTTGGGAAAAAATTTCAACTTTGGAGCACGACAGTGGCAAGCCTGGCGTCGATGGAGTCAGTTGGTTTTAGAGACTAGTTCGGGATGTACGTCAGGATTGTAGTGCCAGTTTTTTCGAGTTGAAAGGAGGAATTACAAGATTAATAAAGGAAAGATTGTGTTTTTTGTAATTTTGGTGTGTCCATGACCGTACGTAGTCATTCGATGAAGTAGACATGGTGTTAATTTTTGTTTATAAGATATTTCAATTGCTAGATTAACCTAGAAGTCCACTTTGTATCCTCGAACATGAGGCGCAGGGCTACCGCTAGAACAGAGCCAAATAACACGTAATTTCACGACCATCGCGGGTTTTTTCACGACCAATCCAGCCTTATGGATTATAGTGTGTTTGGTCGTGACAATAACTTTGATATAATTGTAAATTGAACAGTTTAGTTCAATTGAAACAAATATTTTTATTATAACTAACAGGATAATTGAAGGATTGTTTAGAAAGATTTAGATTATTCCAGACAATTCACGACCGTACCGCTTGTCCCTGACCATCACGTTTATGATTTCTATCATAAAAATTTCAAAAATTAAAATATCGTCATATTTCAATGTTTTATACACAAAAGAAGCACACCTCTATACAAACATAACGATTTTTCGGGTCTCAGGTAAGTTTTTTCGGAGTTATACAAACTTAAAAAGATTTTATTGGCTTTTTTTCAATTTTTTGAGTTTTTTTATTTTTTTCTAGAAAGACCAACACATTAACAACACCAACATTCTTACACACACTCAACACACAACACACACACACATTCTTACATCACACACCACACACATCCTTAACAATGTTAATTGAACAATGAACTTAAGAACTGAACACTTAAGATATTCACTTAACTTAAGAATGTTAAGTGAACATTCTTAGGTCACTGAGCTATTGTGCCAAAAGCTCAGTGACCTTTTTATTGTATAATGGTCATAAAAGTAAATTAGTTTATAGCAAAACATAGTTACAAAAATAATATTAACTATTTTTAATATTCATTTAAACGTCCGTTATGGTCGTGACAGGATTTTGTGTTTTTCCACTAAAGATGCTCTTTTAAAAAGAAACTACCAAAGATATTGCGTTACCATGGACATTTTATGAAACTTCAAATGTTAATGAAATAAAAAAAATAATAAAAATTTTGAAAAAGGGGGAAAAAAATTTGCAAAGTGCTTTTCCTGAAAACGTACGTTTTTAAATTTTCACTCGGAAACAATTTTTTGAGGGTGGATTGGAGGGGGGGGGGGTTCATAATTAATACCAGTAGGTTACAGCTCCGGCAATTTTAATCTATTTTTTTCAGTAAAGCAGTAAGGTAAGCCTGCTGTTAATCCTACAAAATCCTTAAAAAGTCTTATGGGAGTATTTGGGCCCAACAAGAGAACATGGACAATGGAGGATAAAACACAACAGACATGGTTTAAAAACTTTGTACAGACTGTTAAAATGAAAAAATGGATGATCTATACTCCGCGCCAAAGCTGGTGGCGGCTGAGGGATTAGGACCGCCAGGTAGGACTACATAGGCCGGACCTGCTCACCGACCTGGCCGTCCTAATCCCTCAGCCGCCACCAGCTTTGGCGCGGAGTATAGTATTGTTATAAAAATATATATTTTAAGAACTAAATATATTCCCAAAATTGTTTATTTTCCTTATACAGGATGTTTTTTTAACACAACCCAAATACAGTAGACTCCCTCTTATCCGGACCCCTTTTAACTGGACATCGGTTCAACTGGACTCCACTCGGCTGAAATGACATCTCTTTAACTGGATAAGTTTTATCAGCACATCGGTTTAACCAGACTAGATCGGCAGGAAGTGGGCGGTACTGAAACTATTGTTCTTGTGGCAAAGATTTGAGACCAGTGATCACATGTCTTAATACAATGCTCTCCTAAATTTATGTCAAATACTGTATAGGTACAGTATGCGTTTATTTGGGGACGTCGGTTTAACCGGAAAACCCGTTACCCGGACTGGCCTCGGTCTTGAGGAGTCTGGATAAGAGGGAGTCTACTGTAACAAGTTGTGAGACACTTTTTAACGAGAAAACAAGTTCATATTTTGGTATCCCTGTTTTCTTTACTTCAGTGTATTGTAGAAGAATATCTTATCTTACTAATATTATAAATGTGAAAGTTTGTGTGTTTGTTTGTTTGTTTTAAGTTAAATCACGCATTAACTACTGGACGGATTGGGCTGAAATTTGGCATGATGATAGCTCTTATTCCCGATTAACATATAGGCATATTCTTATCTCAAAAATCCTTTCGGGCTCTGCCCCAGTGGCTCTGCAGTTCCCCGTTTTAACCTTATGAGTATTCATATTTAACACATTCACTGCTAATGATATGTAATACTTTTATAAATGGCTAAGAAACATAAACATTAACATGATCATGTTAATTGAGTGACAATATATCTTTAATTAAATAAATTTTATACTATAAATTGTGGATTAAAATATATTATGTAATTATATACATCATGTATTATATATCTGCTAATATACTTATGACGCACAAGTGCGTCATTAGCAGTGAACGTGTTAAAGGGAATTTAGTCAGCTGTTTCAACTAAAAAGTTGGTTCTATGATATGTAAAAGCAGTAAAAAGTTATAATATTTACCAACAGGCTGCAGCACTATTATTTTTTTGCATTTATGAAAACAGCTAATTTGAACTAAGCACTAAAAAAAAAACTGTGATACGCAATGTGAACTGTCACAGTAGGATTGTTTACAGTTATGTTTTTGTTTTTAATTTCATGAATAATTTGTAATATTTTGATTATATTTAATAATTTATTTTTCTCTATTGTTTAGGAGAAGTGGTAGAACATTATGGCTATGGCAGATGTGTAATACTATAGTATACCGTAAATTTAAAGAAGCAAATTTTATCAAACTGCGTCCCCCATTGCAAAAGCTAGCTCGAGTATAACTGCAATAAGCATTTTATACTTATATGCCAACCCCAAACGAAGGACGGGTACTCTGCTAGTGTTAAATAAAAGTAAATCATTGGTTTTATAAATAAGAAGAGTTTTTAATTAATTTAATAGGTGCGATTCCAGTACCTAATAAATCAAATTTTATTGGAATGTACAATTTGTAGAACCCAGATCCGATGTAAACAAAAAAATATACCCCAACCGCAGCAAACCTGTAGATTAAGTGAATTTCCATTTTACTGATTTTATTTTCAATTAAATCTAATTCAATAACATTAGGTTTAACGAGTACCTATGTTTGCGGTTGGAGGGTAACAAAGGGTGTTTTTAGTAAAATCAATTATCAATTATCAATTATTTAAGATGGGGACGCCACTATGTGCGTATTTTAACCCAAATATGAGTGAAGGATGAGTGCAGGATGAGTGGCGCGATCTTGTAGTCTTGTTAGTGACTAAGGCCGACATGTTCCTTAGACACAGCTGTTAATTAGTAGCCCATACAGCTAATGGCAACTAAGGGACCTACAGTTTATAGTGGAATCCGAACCACATTTTTCCTTGTAATTTACGAATTGGTCTAATTATCAGGATAGTACTGCGGATAGTCGTAGTACTCACTAGTGCGGACGTTGATCCACACCAAGGAGTATCGCATCCACAGTGCATCCCTATAAATATCCTCCTAGTAGCTGGATTACAGGACGACGCCACCCGTCCCAGTCTACATTAATATAATAGTTAAATATAATAACTTAGTATAAAATAAATAAATTTGCCAAGTTTAATCAAAATATATCCATAAACAAGCAAATTACAACAGTTTACTTACTCTTTATTAGAATAACACAGGAATTAAAAAATTAAAATTTTATCTGTAACCAATAAATGTGCAGAAAAAAACTTACAATATACTTAATTATTTGTTTTTTAAGCTCTTCAAAATGGTTTAGGGAGCAGTTTCGCTAACTTTGTACGAATAAACGTAGGTTTACATGTTTGCAAATTGGCTAGAACTGTATTTTTATTCAACAAATTAAAGAACAATGTAAGTGAACAAATTATTCTAAATTGTTATTACCCATTTTCCATTCTCACCTACAATATGGTGTTCTCTTATGGGGTAACTCTGTAGGAGCCAAAACCGTTTTCAACTGGCAAAGGAAAGCAGTCAGGTGCATTAGAGGAACAATGCCAAGGGAAGATTGCAAAGCCGATTTTAAGGCCCTAAATATCCTAACCCTTCCATCTTTATACATTTTAAATTGCTTATTATACGTAAAAGAGAATATAGACCAGTATAGCATCCGATCTGACATACATGCACATTACACAAGAAATAGCCATCATCTCAACTTACCACTTACAAGACTTACACTTACACACAATAGCTACAAATATCTTAGTATACAATTTTTTAATAAATTGCCCCCTTCTGCAGTAACGATTCCAATAAAAAAATTCAAAACAGTCCTTGATTCATGGTTAAAATTAAAATGTTTTTACTCTGTAGATAAGTTCTTGTCCTTGGAGGTTTTAGATATAAGTTTTTAAATAATTTAAGATCAAGGTTCCTTTTATTTATTCTATGACTATGTTTAATGCTTTAATGATAAGATGCCATTTGACAATGTCAATTGCTTTTGTAGAGCTGAAAGACAATAAAAAGATTTGATTTGATTTGTACCAAATCAAAATCGGATCATTTTTGCTTGAGTTATTGTGCTAACGGACACATATATATTTAACGGATGGTGTTTTTGGCCTCTTGACATCAAAACAAAAAAGTAAATCGGTCCCGGGTCCAGGTCTTACGCCTTATACCTTCAAACCAAATTTCATCAAAATGGAATAAAAATACTTAAGTATATGTTCACGGAGACACAGACACACACATATATATATATATAAATTTGAACAAATAGTGTTTTTGGCCTCTGGGGACATCAAAATGAAAACGTAAATTGGTCCCAGGCTCAAGTCTTACCATGGAGACCTACGGTAATATAGCTACTTCCCTATAGGGAAATTCACTAAAAAACACACCTCGTTATCTTCTCTGTAGCAGCAAACCTAAAACTCATGTCATTAAAACTTCATGTTATTTAAAAAGGAAATAAATCTGACAACTTTAAGCGAATATTTTAGTATAAATCCAGCCAGGTAAATGAAAATTCGCCTAGTCTGCAGGTTTACTGCCGCAGAGTTATTTATTTATTTATCGGAATGGGTTAATGCATTTACCAAAATTAACATCCAATATGTGCTGAGACGTTTTATGTGGTCCACATTATATCTATAGACCTATAATTTGTATTTTATTAAATTTTCTTGTACCCTAATTGTCCTGACTTATTTATATAGGAATAGTACATACAGTAGGCCCCCTCTTACCGGACCCTAATGGGACTGGACTTATGTCGGATAACTCAAAAATTCGGTTAATGGGCAATCCCAAAATACTTAACAAAACATAGTGATGTTCATTTGGAACTATATAATCATAATTTTGAAGTCGTACTTGCATTATTTATAAAATAAGCTACACTTATCTCCTTTTTTCGTATTGATAGAAAAATCACAAATAAACACAAAACACGGATAAGCCAGTATAAATTCTTATTTTAATAACTTTAGTAGGTACCGTAATATTAATTGATGCTTTCCAAATCTATCGTAATACAGTACAAAGCTTTTTGTCTGCGTTGTTTGTTTACTGTAGCGATAAGATAATTTTAGATATATATTAAAAAATAGCGGCTGTTTTTAGAAATATAATTTTTGGGATGAATACAAAATTACTTATTCTTAGTCACATCCTGTGGAGATAGGCATAGGCCTATAGTTCTCATAGCCGAGATCAGAGGCGTCGCGTGAACCATAGATTTGGGGGGGCACATTGATATGACACCATCCGGGGGCCTGGGGGGTATGGAATAATCCAATTATCGGTTAATGCAAGGTCGGTTAAGGGGGTCTACTGTATTTATTCATATTATGCTATTAACATTGCTGGAAATATGCTTATTTTCCTCCTGACAATATGTGAAGGGGCTAAGGTAAATTTTTACTTGTAAACTTAATTAATGATTTGGGTTTTAACTTTAAACTTGGAGAAACTTCTAGAAAAAGGGAAAACTAAGTAGCACTTTGCAGGGCCAAGATGTTTTCAGTACGACTACTATGGCTAAAACTGTTATTTGAAATACATGGCTTATGGACTGCACAGAGCATAATGGATGTGTAATTGAGTAATGTATAGTATTCTGTATTAACACAATTGAAGTAATAAACTTATAGTCACATAGGGAGTACATATTTAAATGTAAAAATCAAGGAAAACGGTTTTCTTAAAGCATTGAATTTTTTTTCTTAAAACTGATTAGTCCAAGATAGAAAACATTCCTCATGGAGATAATTATTTGACAGATCAGATTGTGAAAAGGACGCTGAATGAGGAAGTGGAGGTGCACCATCTGGACATGAGCTCCCTGGCATCTGTCCGCAAGTTCTCCAAGAAGCTGCACCAGATCACTGACCATGTGGATGCTCTGATATTGTACACTGCACCAGACTGTACACCGTCCGCCACTACAACCTCTGATAATCTCAACACTATCATGCAGCTGCACCACTTCGGACCCTACCTGCTCAGCAACTTAGTGCTCGGTAGGTCGTATATAACTAGACATTCTATTTTCATGTTTAAGGTGATAGCCAGTTTTATAATAAAATAGAACGCACTTAAAATAACAGTGTGCTGATGTAATTTAATTATTTATATTGAATATGCCAACGATATAATCAAGTCAAGTCAATGATCTATTTTCACATAAATGTTTCCAACTGAACCAGAATAGCTGGGTTAACAGGTGAAATTATTGTCAAATTCAATTACCTGTAATACAGTCTAATAGGAAAAACAATTACATGACACAGCAAGTTATTGTTGTGTAACTATAGCACATATTTAATGTATATCAATTTTCAAAGTTTCGACAATTGAAAGAGAAAACAAAGTTTTGACAGTAGCACACTGCGAGTGTCTCATTCAACTACATTCTATTTTAATTAAACAATAATTTTCGACAGCTGGTCCCAATAAATGGGATGCCTACAATCAGTATCTAAAATCAATGGTCATACATACCGGTATCGACATTCAAGATTCCCTGTGTCAATTCAGTTTTGTATAGCGTTACCTGTTTTGAAAATTAGTTTAGTTCTTTGTAATTTGTTTTACCACTCAAACCAACGTTTTGTATTGAGGATACCGTCATTCGTTAATTTTCTTGGGAGGTCATCTTAAATAGAGTATGTTACCTTTAAACCTGGAGATCCAAGAATAAGTCTCTCCCCATTGTAAAGGTATGTAACCTTTACAATGTCACCTGTTCCTGTGCCATAGTTAACATTCCTGATAAAATGATTTTATAACATCTACAACTACTAATTTCGTTACAGATTTGCTGAAGAAGTCATCCTTAGGGAGAGTAGTGTTTGTTACTTCCATTGTCCATCACTTCAACAAGTTCAGTCTGGACAACTTGAACTGTGAGAAGGAGCCTCTGTCCAACTGCAGAGTGTACTGCAACGCTAGGCTGGCCAACATCCTCACCACCAAGTATCTGGCCAGGATACTGAAAGGGACAGGTAAGCAATACACCCACCTGCATGTACCTTTTTGGCTTTAACAGTGGCGGCAATTGCCTTAATAACTTCTACGAGTGTCCTAAAGACTATTAACGCGAGTTGCGTACACTACTTTACCTACGACCGTTTTTAAATTACTAACAATCTGGTTTTTAATTACTAACAATCAATACTTATAACTTCTTAGAGAGGTTATGTTTTCGTTTATTGTCATTGTCACTGAAAGTGATGCAACGACTTATTGTATAATCAGCTGATTTCATGTAATTACATGTTTGTTAAACTTTGTTAAATAATACGTTACTTTTTCAGAGAATATGTTCTGCTAGCAGCATTCTTACTACTAGGGTGGTCTGCCGTTACACTTTAGACGCATAAATGAGCGAAGCATTACTTAAAGATTGTCAATGGCTAAAGCAGCTAAAAACCTACAATATGTTCCCTTTCAACAGATTCACCGTTTGTTTGCCCGATATTATTTAAGTTCTAAAGAATGAAAAATTTATCTGATAGTTCATTTATTTAGTTAAGAATAAGAATAAGAATTGATAAAAGGTTATTAGACATGTGTATTTGACATTTTGTTTAAACGGTCAAGAGCTGGTGCGACGACCAATATTACGACGTGGCCTTTGAGGCATGCTCAAAACAAATATAGCAAAACTGTTACTTCCATTGATAAACTGTTACATTCCAACTTTAACCTAGGATGAAAGTAAACATTGAAAGGTAAACAAAACAGTTACAAACAATTAACATATGTTTATCTTATTTAAATGAAACGAGATAAACCCATATGTCGAAAACCCAATATAATTTTTCTTTCAACTTACATTAAAATAACAAGCAAAATTGCGTGACCCGTAAAATAAAATCCAGAAGGATATTTGGGAAAATATTTTTTACCATAAACATTGTGCTCAGTATTCTTTAGCTGTTGGCCAAATTTCATATCAATTGGTCAAGCCATTACATTCTGATGCTCTTACAAAGAAGTTACAAAGTGAGGGAAAGTGAGCTTCGCTCAATAAATACTGTATCAGGTACAATTAGGGAAATATTGCATATTTTTTTGACAACTGAATAATATAGAGAAACAGTAAATTTACAGTTAGATTTCAGCATCGAATATGTGGTCCACAACGAGATGGGTGAACAAGTGGTTAAGAGGTTTTCAAAATAAACCAGAAGCACATTTTCATTTATCAATTTAACCTTATTTTGTTTCGTCCATTTATTGAATTGCTGGTATGTAATTTCATACCTTTGTTTTGATTTTGGTGGCAAAAGATTAGCACAAACAGTTTGTGCTCTCATTTCCATCCCGTCAACTTCACTTTCACTAACTGACATTTTAAAATCAGTTTAATCTACCTTCCTTAACTTCGACCAACTTAGGTTGAGTATCAACAGGAACGAGTCGGATCAACAATTAAAATTGTCAACTGATCAACTGATGTTCGAAGCATTACAATTTTACTTCTTTTCTCTCAATCCTTGAACCTCATTGGTCCGTTACCCATGTTGTTATGAGTGAAACTATGCTGAGATGAATGTAAACAGCTGTTAAGTGAAACTTTTCAATTCTAAGAACTGAACTGCCTACTTTAAAAAACGGCCGTAGGTAAAATATATTTCAACACAGTTTTATATAAAGTGCTTCTTGGTTTCTGAAGACACTTGGAAAAACTAAAGATACATTCTCTGTGACCGGCAAAGCAATGCTTGACATAATTTATCTTGATGCCAAACTATAAGAGTGGGAAGCTCCACAAAAGCCTGATAGGTTTCCTAATGGCCAAATTTTTTATAAATATAAAATTTAGAATTTAAAATAGCTCTACACAAGATCTTTATCAAATTTTATAAATTTATCAAAAATAGTAACTATATTTTCATCTTATTAACATAACTATAATCTTATTATGCAATTCTATGTTTTGCAATTACCCTCATTGATCCGAAATATATGAATCTGCAAAAATCATTTGTTAAATATGGTATAACCTTTTGCAATACTTTTTTACTTTGTCAAATCAATAATTTTAATAAATTAATTCCAAACAATGATCATACCAATTTGTATCTTTTGACACATTGCATTTATTAGGTAGTTATATAAAGCACATGGTGAATTGCAGGAGTTACTGTGAACAGTGTTCACCCTGGCATGGTGAGACCCGACCCCACTACCAACCCTTCATGTGGGGGAATCATGGGGATGATTTGCAGTTTGTGGATCAACTTTTTTGGAAGGGTAATTTTATTCCCACCTTACTTTATTCCTACAAGTTTTTTTAATATTAATATGAGCTGCTATACCCTTGCTTCACTACGGCATGGATACGGAGATACACAAAAGAGAGAATACCGTTCTTAAGATCTGCTGTATGATATAGTTACACCTATTACTTACTTAAGAAACCAAACACTTATTAAGACGTTTTTATTAGCTCGCTTTCTTGTCTATTCGGTACAAATTTTGCAATTGATTTTAAACTAACTTCCCGATGAGCCAGAGACTTGAAACTTGAAACATAACTAACAAATGGATGACAATGCAATATTAAATAATTTTATTTTCATATTCTTCTTGGGCTACGCCCCATGGGCTTCCAAAGTTTCAATGTTTATACATTTTCGAAGAATTTAAATAGTCAAATAAATCAATTTAAGTCAGCTGTAAATACTTTAATTTGATAGTTTGTTCAAAGAGGAAGGTACCGGTTCTGCTTCCAAGATATTCTAAAAAGAAACATTTCAAAGTAAAAATAAAACATCTGACAACATCTGATTACAGATAAAACGGTGTTGGTTATAGGTTATGTATTAACAGGCCATATAAATTAAATAGATTTAACATATTTAAACATCAAAGACTAAAAGTAGAAAATAATTTATAAACAAAAAACCTTTTAAATTTACGGCGTTTTTAAACTCACAAAAAATGTATAAATATGTGGAGAGAATAAATACTTGTAAGATTTGAAACGAAAAACGTGGGGCGCATGCAATGGATAATTTTAAAGATGGGTTGCTAATGATAGGAAACAGACAAATTCACACAGTGGTTGTACATCCTGTTAGTATGATTTACATTTATATTTCCTAATTGAGATTAAAAATTGCTAATAATTCAATAGGTGAAGAAAATCGTAAATTAGCTATTGTATGCGCCCCACATTTTTAAAACCGTCTCCACAAATTTATAAATTATTTTCTACTTTTTAGTGCGTTTAAAAACCTGGTATATTTAAATACCCCCGCCGCAGCAAACCTGCAGACTAAGCGAATTTCCATTTGCCTGATTCGATTTACACCTAAAATGTCTCTTTAAAAATATCAAATTTATTCCCTATTTAAATAACATTAGTTTAACGAGTACTTAGGTTTGCTGCAACAGGGAGGGTAAAAAGGTGTTTTTTTTTTGTAAAATGTTAATAGCTTAGTATGAAATGAAAGCATTTTCAAAATTTGATCAAAATATGACCATAAACAAGCAAACTACAACAGTTTACTTATTCTCCATAAGAATAACATGGGAATTTTAAATTTACAGTTTTTTGGAATTTTCTCTGTAACCATTAGGCGCATAATAACGCTTCAATACACTAAATTATTTGTTTTTTTAATCTCTACAAAATGGTTTGGAAAGAAAATGCTAAATTTTTAGTTTTAGGGTAAAAAATGGGAAAAACCAATTTTTCCCCCATAAAACCCCCCATAAACACCTGTTCCCATAGTCCGATCATGCTGGTTCGCGAACTCGTTCGAATAAACGTAGGTTTACACGTTTGTGCCAAATTTCATCAAAATCGGATGATTTTTTCTCGAGTTATCTCGCTAACGGACACATATATAAATATATATATACATATATATGAATTTGAACGGATGGTGTTTTTGGTCTCTAGGGACCTCAAAACGAAAAAGTAAATTGGTCCCGGGTCCAGGTCTTACCATGAGTACTACGGTAATAGCTTATTCCCTATATGGGAAATTCGCTAAAAGATATATATTTATAAATTGTTTACCATTAATTCTTTTCTTTAAATTAATTCTCTAGGCACCCAAGTACAATACATAAGTGGCGCTGGAATGCAAAGTATACTTTGACTTTGACTCTTTGCTTCAATTTGAAAAGATTCACTTCAACTAAAAGTGAGATCTACTTACTTTGAAACCCCTACTTGCATTTGAAGTCAATAGATCCAAAAAATCTAACAACATATACTGTTCCAATAAAATCAATTACTTGATATCAATGATTACCCCTTTATTAAGTTATTTAACCTATTCTAATTTCTACATTTTTAGTCTAGCCTCTTTCAGAGGTTTATTATATAAATTACAAAGAAAACTAAGAGAAAATTTCAACAACACTTTGACTACCTTTTTTAACCAAACATAATATGGGCTATCCTGCAGTTAGACCATCATAGGGCAATCATTAACCTTGTGTACATAGACTCTAACTATCAAACCTATGTCAGTGATTGTGCCGGAGTGCCGTTTACTGACAAATATGTTAATCACATTCAGTGCTCTCAGGAATGGGCTTGCTTGTGACTCCAGAATATTTCTTAAAAAACACATCTACTACTTTTTAATCTGTATGCCAAAATCTAACAAATTTACTAATGAAATCACTCATAGAAAATTAATAGGTACCTAGTAAGTCAGCTATTGATGTTATGTGTATACCTTCAGGGTACTCAAAACCAGTGATTTATAAACTAAAGACAAAGTCTGAATCTACCTAGTTAGTCAGCTATTGATGTTGTGTATAGCTACTGATATATGTGTATAGCTTCAGGGTACTAAAAAACAGTGATTTATAAAGACTAAGTCTGAATCTGAATGCTGAGAATTTAAAGATAAGCATTAAAATACTTTCTGACCAATACTAGAATACATTGTGCAAACTTTCTAATCCTCACTTTCTACTAAACATTTTCAAATATAAAAATAATTTGAAAATATGTTTAATGGATGTTACAAAAGTGATTTTACTTACAAGATTTGTTTTATGACTTTAACTATATTTTTCAATAATTGTTGCAGATTATAAGGGAAGGTGCTATGACACCAACATATGTTGCTTCTGAACCCAAACTGGCCAATGTTACAGGAAAACATTTTGCTGAATGCAGGGTAAGATACATTTCTTATGACAAGATAAATCTTAGTCCCAATTTCATTAATGAATGTGCCTTTAATTTATTTGGTAATGATATGGCGAAATGCTATGTTAGTATCTGGTATGAGATATCCCAACTCCTTGTTTATTGTATTGGTAGGGACACCTTTTGTAGATTAGATTGCAAAGAGCAGTCATTTCATTTGTTTGTACTTTTGATTATAGCCATACGGTAGATAAAACCATAGACAAAAAGAATAAATATAGACTGTCAAAGGAAGGTTCCTGCGCCCACCGCTAGGAGTGCCATGTAGTTACGGCGCAAACTGCTGCAGGAGATGACCGCAGGAGCCGTATGCGACCAGCAGACCCTGCAGCGGTGTGCGCCGTAACTACACGGCAAACCTAGCGGTGGACGCCAGAACTTATGCTAACCGCAGCACAGCTGACGGTCTATATTTATTCTATTTCTCTATGATAAAACATAGTCCCTTAGTAGATTTCCCATCCTTATGTAACAGCTAAAGCCAATTTTATTGTTAGTTATGTCTGGTTTTCTGTAGATGTCGTGTTTTGTTTACGATTTGTTTCTTGTTATTTCAGTAATTTAAAACCTCGTTTAACCAAATAAAACTATCTAATCATAAACAATAACTCGTCCACTAGCTATATAACCAAACAGTGAGATAGAAATAATGAGAAATTAACCCTAAAATAATAGAAAAAAATTGTAAACAAAACACGAAATCTACAGAAAACCAGACAGAACTAACAATAAAATTGACTTCAGCTGTTCCATAAGGATGGGAAATCTACTAAGGGAAAATGTTTTATCCATGTTATAACTTCCACTTCATCACAACCACTTCCACATGTTTTATTTAAAAACAAAATTACCAACAAATTAATGTCCATTTCCCATGTTTTAATATGTTTCACCCATGCAAAATCCTTGATAAAAGTGGAAAATTGATTTTTGTTAGGCATAGTGGTAGCTTTTCTATTGGTATAGTATCATCAAATTTACTTATTTTTTTATTCCAGCCACTGTTGATTATCATTTGTTTGTGTTTACAGGTTTCCGGATGTGTTGCATCATTAGCTAATGACACCAAGTTACAAGACCAATTGTTTGAAAAAAGTGCACGGCTAGTGAATTTAAGGCCAGAGGAAAAACATTTTTAAATAAAACCGATTATTATTAAATAATTTAGTATTCTTTTGTTTGTGTATATTTTATTGTGGATTAAGTATACTTTATCTTTGATTTTATTACAGGTAATTTAGAATGTTATATTATCATTGCGTATTAGATACAAAAAATGGTGCCTGTAATTTATCTCATTAATCAATCAGTTAAATGAATAATATTTTGGGCGAACTCACACCAGCAGCATATGAAATTACATTGTGTAACAGAGTAGTTTCTTATGAAACTGTCCAAACTGCTGAGAATAAGTAACAGGTAGTCACACAGATACTGAGGCAGATATTCAAAAATGATCAGCAGGTAATTTTAACATATTTGTGACATCATCTATCTAGCCATTTGCACTGTTTTTATTTTCCTGACCATCAATTTTAATGGAGGGCAAAGATGCATAAGTGTTTAAATCTCATTAAATCATTATGAAAGAGTTCTTGCTAAATGGTGCAAGGTGAATACACAAAACTGCAGGGTGCGGCAAAAACCCAATCTATTTTCTGCAGCGACAGGTCGTCTGAGGGGGCTTGTTGGAAAGCCTACATGATGCCATTATCTTTAGTCATAGAGCAGTGGTCACCTAAACAACACGCATTTGTTACAGATTCGTTTAAAAAAAGTAATGATTCAGTCATTGCAACTCAGCGGCATTTCCATGCATTCTTTTAATTATGACGACATGGAGAGGTTCCGCCGCGATTAGGTTCCGTATGGATAATCAACAAAATTAAACAGATAAATACAAATTAATCTGTAGGGATAAGAAGATTGAATCTCAAAATTAGTGTAACCGAGCGGTGAGACATGTTCAAAGCAGATGCTTGTTTTCAGGCAGGCCTACGAGGACTGTTTTCCACAGCGCATGCACTCTATGGAATGTTAGTTGTCTGGTGTCCGATCTGCAGGTCATTGAAGTGGTTTCGATACTATTTAACTCAAAGATCTCAGTATGTTGAAATGAAGCAATTAAAAAATAACGTTTTTTCAACCTTCTGCTTAAAGTTATCTATTGTTCAACATGGGGTCCCACAGGGTTCGATTTTGGGACCTGTTTTATTTCTTTGTTACATCAAAGGAATGCCCGGGTCATTTCAAAACAATATATTTAATAAAATAAGTTTGTATGCAGACGATGCAAGTTTAAAAGTAATCAGTACATCTGTTTCCAGTTCGGAATTTAACTCTTTGAATTGCCTAAAAACAATAGATGCTTTCTTAAACTATCATAAATTACTTTTAAATTCCAGTAAAACCAACTTTATGGTATTTTCAACAGGTAAACAAAACAATCCAATTGATCCAGTGATTAATTTTAAAAATTCTAATCTTAATCAAGTTACTACAACTAAATTTTTAGGCTTAGTAGTTGATGAAAATCTTTCATGGAACTTCCATGTTGACCATGTTGTCAGCAAAATCTCATCTGGAATTTATGCAATTTATAGAATGTCTAAATTTTGTTCAGAAGATATTTTGAAAAAGCTTTATTTTGCTTTCATTGAATCCGCAATATCATTTGGCATAAGTGTTTATGGTGGAACATCAAAGAAAAATTTAGATAGAATTTTAATTTTGCAGAAAAGAAAGAGCAATAAGACTAATGTTAAATTTAAACTGGGATGTTTCCGTACGTGATCATTTCTTAGCCATGGGTATAATGACTGCGTACGGCATTTATGTTTTCCATACCGTTCTTTTAACTAAAAATCTTTTGTCTGAAAGTATGTTACCTAAACTAGGGGATAATCATGAATATGGCACCCGGCATAGAAACAAAATTGCTGTTGGTGCCCATAGATTGGAATTTTATAACAAAAACCGTCATAAGCTGGAAGAAAATTTTTTAAGGAAAATTGATGAAAGTAAAAAATTTAAAACCCAGCTTAAAATATACTTAACACAAAAAGTACTGTATAATTTTGATGAACTGTACAGCTGATATTATGTTGTAAGTTTAAGTAGTTTAAGAATTTTGACGCCATTCAATGTACATACTTGTATGATTTATGAATAAAGTTATTTTCAATTCAATTCAATGCTATCTAAAAGATCTCTATGAGATACAGAAGACTCCCTCTTATCCGGACAGGGGTTTAACCGGACTACACTTGGCAGAAATAACATCTCTCAACCGGACAATTTTTATCAGCACATCGGTTTAACCGGACTAGATCGGCAGGAAGTATGCGGTACTGAAACGACTGCTCTCGTGGGAAAGATTTGAGACCAGTGATCACATGTCTAAATACATGCTTTCCTTAATTTAAGTCAAATACTGTATACAGTATGCATTTAAAGAGTCTGTTTTAACGAGTTTTTGGGGACGTCGGTTTAACCCTAGCAGTGGTCAATGTTAGAAGTGGGGAATGGCCAACCCATTTTGGCGATTTTGCAGACCTTTTTTTGAAAATTCTTAAAAATTCAACCGTACAAGTAAACCTAGCCAACCTCATATTCATTTTGTTCAGAAAGAACAAGAGAATCTAGAAATAGTAATATAATAATGATTTAGATAGTGTATTTTTTCTGCAAAGTGAAAAAAATAAAAATTTTTTTTTGAAATTTCAAAAGCGGCCTCGGTATTTTTTTTTCTATGGATTTTTTATTGGAAATTCATTATATATATTTTGTAGACAATCTAATTCCCTACATAAAAAAATATAACATGTTAGGAAAATATTTTTTTTATAAATTTTTGGGGCGAAATATAATAACAAACGGAGAACCGAAAAAATTGAAAACTGTTCAGTGTTAGTTTGTGTTGTAAAAAGTTATATAATATATGTGTATACTAATAATGATATATACATGTTTGTAAAGTTAATGAAGTAAGGAATCAAAAAAAGTCATAAAGTTTATGGTAAAATATTTTTTATTTATAAATAAAATAATGTTTTTTGTATTTTAGCGATTTTGTGAAAAAAAAAATTCATAGTATTTAGTATAAAACTTTTGTACCAAATGTTTTTACTTCAAACCAACATAAACATCTTGTAGTGTATTCAATTACCTACATAAAAATGTATAACACGTTGGGTAACAATTTTTGATTTATGTGCTAGGGGCATAATAATATAAATAAACGGGAAACCGCAAAATACAACCGCAAGAAAAATACAACCTTTTATAAACACAATTTGACACTATTCATTAAATATTCATGCATAATAAAATACATGAAGGTTACTGGTATATACACATACACATTTTTTAAAAAATACGAAATAATAACGAATTTAGTAATCAATCGTGGATAAAACAAGAGCGAAAACTCACCGGCAACAACACGCAATGGCGCCGCAATGGTGAATACAAGACACTTTGTGTATAAGATCATGACAGTAGACAGTAGTGACACACTTTCGTCGTCTTAGTGAGTGAAAACGGAAATAATCCTGAGCGCAGGGCTGCCACTATCACAAGCTACATTTCTTCCTCTTCAAAATGACGTATTATATGACTAGTAATAATAAATTACACTGTATGTAATTTGTATTTTCCATACCGTCACCTGGTGATGGTTGGCCATTTGTTATAAATTTCAAAAATAGCTGTTTTCATAAAATTGTACCGGTTGTCCAATCAATATTTAGTTCTAAAATATCACTACTACAATGAAGATAAAATCAATGGCTATCCAGTGGTACCACCCGCAACATCCCAAGACGAAAATTACCCGAGCAGGGTACTGCCAAACAAGACGTGTTTTGCCAGTTCCCAAGGGTCGGCTGCTAAAGTCGTGCCGTGCCAAAAATTCATTTGATTTCTAATCGTCGTGACATTGTTATATACCTGCTAAAGGGTTTGTTTATGTAATAAAATGAAAGTTCAGAATGTGATCTTTCGAATGGTATATATATTATTCTCATCTGAGTTGATTATAAGTGTTTTTTTTGCCGTTAAAATAATTTCGGCCCATACCATCACCAGACGACGGTGGCCATTCTAAGCATCAACGTCAAACCATCACCAGACGACGGTTGGCCACTGCTAGGGTTAACCGAAAAAACCATCATCCTGACTGGCCTCGATCCCAAGGAGACAAGTACTGTATTTGTAAAAAAACTTGTTAACACACTCAAAACTCACCATTTTGCACATAAAATTGCAAAAAACTTCGGGGGGAGGACCCCGGTCCCCCCTTTTACTGTGGGGCGCGGCCCAGTACTATTCGCCAAGGGCGCCATATACTCTAGCTACGTCTCTGTTCTAAAGTTGGTAACCCACACCATGATTGTGCTACTTGACAAAATCCACGTCACCCTAATGAAAAGAATTAGGTCTGTTACTAGTTACTAGTGTACATGTTGCTCAAAATCGAGCAATTGCAAAGAAGTACAGAAGTTATTTATAAACAAATGACTTGTTTAAAAACTAATAACAGTCATAATTTCCGATGATAAAAGAGTCGACTAAAAGATTATTAACTACACAGTAATGGAAATACTCACAATTTACATAACAGTCCTATTCCAGTTTAAAGGGTTAATTTTTAACTATCAAACTGCCCATGGACGAGAAAAGGTAAGCTTACCATTTAAGTCAACGTAAAAAGGCTGTCACCTTTTATAATGTACCGTACCTAAGTTATTTAGCCAATTTGTAGACAATAAGGTGTAGGCTACTTTAAACTCTACAGAACAGTGTTAGGCAAACACTGGCAGAATTCTGAAATGGTGTTATTTATCATAGGCATACTCATATGCCAAATCCTTATAGTCCAGCAGCCAAATGAGGATTTTGTCCCTAACCTGGTTTTGTTCTATTAAGTTTTTTTAATTGTTGTTTTGAGTTATATAGGGTATGTAGACCATAAAACCACCGGGTACTTTTTTGGTACCCTTGGGCAATAGCCGCCATCTTGGAAAATGGCGGAAAACGTAATTTACAGTGTAAGCTTTTACTTAAAACTATGTTATGAAAATACCATGCTACCTACAACAGTGCAAACACTTTTAAAATACTCACAGTGAAATTCTATGCAGGAAAATATCATATTTTAACC